CGGCCGCGGCGCCGGAGGCCCAGCGGGGCCGAGGGGACTCCTGCCTGGCCGCCGCCTCTCTGAACGCGGGTTGGAAATGGGAAGGCAGCAGCTTCTGGGGGCGTCTTTCGGGTGGCTGGATGGAAAACGCTGTGGGCGGGCCGGGGCTTGTGCCCAGCAAACACGGAAGGAAGCGGGCGCAGCGCCCCGCAGGCCGGAGGCCGTCCGTGTAAGGAGGGCAGCCGGGGACCTGGTCCCGCTGACTCGAACACTGGACGAACAGCTCTGCACGGCGCCAGGGGCTGTCTGAGCCCAGAAGTCATGCAGGAGCTCCGGCATCAGTCCTGTTTTCATGACCGATGATAGAATTCAACTCACGTTTGCAAGGTTAGCGTGTGGGTAGGATATAGGAGATAGTGGCCTTAGTCTCAGAACTTACGATTCCTCTCAAGACCACAGATCTACCATGCTTGCTTCACCCATAAACCATACACAGGTACTGGTGTGATGCTCACACATAGGCAGTTTCAGTGTTCATACTGTTGCTTGAGGGTGTGTTCTCAAGTGTCATCAAGGTCAAGCTGGACTGGGCTCAGGGCAACCTGATCTAGCTGGAGATGTCCCTGCACATTGCAGAGGGTTGGACTAGATGACCTTTAAAGGTCCTTTCCAGCCCAAACCATTCTATAATTCTGTGATCATGGTCAGTAAGGACCTAACTGAAGTGTTTCGAAGTTTCTGTGGTCAGTTTTGAAATGGAAGGCTGTATCAGTTAAACATTACACATAGAATCATAGAATCCTTTAGGTTGGAAGGGACCTTTAAGATCATCAAGTCCAACCATTGAGCCATTAGGTCTCTAACATCATAAACAGATTTATGTATAAAGTGACACTGTTAATGCTTTTCATTATGAGAACAAGGTTTTATGATTGTGATTTTTTTTACCATAAGATTTTGTTTGTTTTGGTTTTCAGAAGCTGTGCAAACAAAATTAAGACTTTAAAATCCATTTTTCATTGTAGCTAGTTTCCTGTTCTCTAGTGGGATTTTTTTCTTCTTATTGTAGAATTTCTCTCTGTTTTTGTAGGCATTTGGGTTTTTCCCTTTTTTTAATCTGGAAATGCAGGTAATTTTATAAGTAGACATAAGGCTTTATGACCCTGTAACTAAACAGCACAGTTCTGTGATCCAGCATGAAGCTGGCCTGAGCCAATGAGAAGATGAGAGCCCAAGTTGTTTAGTCTGGAGAAGAGGAGACTGCGAGGAGAACTTATTGGAGGTTGTAGTGAGCTGGGAGTTGGTCTCTTCTCCCAAATTACTGATGATAGGATGTGAGGAAATGGCCTCAAGTTGTGCCAGCGAAGGTTTCAATTGGGTATTAGGAAGAATTTCTTCCCTGAGAGAGTGTTTAGGCACTGGAACAGGCTGCCCAGGGAGGTGGTGGATTCATCATCCCTGGAGGTGTTCAAAAAATGAGTAGATGTAGCACTTGAGGCTATGGTCTGGTGGTTAGGGAAATGTTGGGAGGAAGACTGGAGTTGGTGATTGTGGAGGTCCTTTCCAACCATAGTGATTTTATGATTCTCTGTGGCAAGAAGAGTTTTCTTTAAAACAGACATGTGCCATTAACCTTGCAGCAGTGGTGCCAGGGGGTTATGTGTGACATCAGGTTTTTTTTTTTTGACACCTCTTACTTGTGCTATAGAAAGTCTTGCACTTTACCAGATTTCACCGCTTCCTCCTTGGCATTAATTACTTGCCAGTGCCCAGTAAGTGATACAATAGAAGTAGATCTTAAGGAATTTGAAGATTTAGTAATGTTGTGGATGAGTCTTTGAAACAAGTTGCAGTATGAGATCTGAGGTGGAATAGACGTTGAAGTTACATTATCCCTTTCCTTCCAAAACATCTTTCCCTGCAGTGCCTGCATAGATTACAGGGCACAGTCTGACCAAGATGCACCAAGCCAATAAAAATCTCACCATTTATTTGCAACTTGAATTTGCTTCTTTTAAAACTGGCGGTTTAAAACTGCAAGATAAAGATATTAGCTTTGATTACAGTAAACCCATGCTGACCAAAGCTATATTTCATTGATTTCTAAAAGTTCCTTATTCTCTGTACTACAAAAGAACCTGATTTCTTCTGTGCAGTTGTTGGCCATAATCTGTCGAATAGTGGCATGGTCCATTTGCATGGGGTGAGTTAAAAGGTACAGGAACACCTCAGGTGCCAAGAGGATAATAGAGTGAGGAAAATATATTCCAGTGAAAGATGGAAGCAATTTCAGGTCAATTTGATGTGGAAAATGTAAGATTTTGGTCCTTCTCTCGCTCTCTCCTTTTTTTTTTTTTTTTCCTTTAACAAACCTGTGGTAGTGTTCTGTCTCATTCAGCAGTAAATGGATTACAGCAAGATGTCTGGCAGTCTTTTGGGGAAGTAAAACAGGAAGAAAAGCTGAAAAAGAGGAAAGGACCCTAAAGCTTACTCTCCACTTAATTGGGTTATGTTCAGAATGTATGCAGGATGTTGGTAATTTATGACATTCTGGCTGTTCACGTTGTAATGTGGATACTGAATTAGAATGTGCTTATAAATTGCAATTCAGTTCTGCTGTTGTATGTTTTATCTTTGAATCATGTATATTTTGAGTCTTATTAAAAATAAATATGAATTAGGATTCTGTGCCTCTGTCTTTTTAAGGTGTCATGGAAAAACTTGGACTTGGTCCAGAGGTCCTTCTACAAGACAATCCCAGACTCATATATGCTAGACTTACTGGATTTGGCCAGACAGGAATATTTGCCAAGTCTGCAGGTCATGACATCAATTATTTGGCTTTATCAGGTAGGCTGTAAAATTTCATATTGAATAAGGTTTTTTCCAATCTTAAATAAAGACTCAGGAATTTACTGAGAGGTTATCTGCAGGTAGCTCAAAATTACCCAAGGTGCAGTGTGGTGAAACAGCTGAGCAGAGTTGAAGTGTCTCTGTCAGTGAAATGAGAATTTCCTTCTCTTTCCGTGTGCTTCTCCCTGCTCCTTTCTCTCCAGTTAGCTGTGGCACTTGCTTAACCCCTATGTAAGCTCCCTCACAAGTCAAAAACTGGCCAGGAGAAATGAGGATGTTTTTCTGGCAGGTTATTGAGGTGAAGCAGTTCATGAAGTGATCCGACAGACGTGAAAAGTCAGCACGAGAAAGGAGGACAGGTGGGCTGGACGTGCTGTTTGTTTCAGCAGCAGGAGCAAGCTGTTGGGCTGGATCAGCATTGCTTCTCAGCAATGTGTACTGTGTTCTTCCTTTCTGCTGTTTTGTCTGACTAAAGTTTTTCTCTTAGTCGAGAGAACTGAAGTTTTTATGCATTTTTGTCCTTCTTCAAGGCCTCTCTCCTAGAAAAATTGTGTGCTTACAATCCCCTAAAGGCTGCAGATTATTTTGCATGTATGTGAGCAGCTTTTTTGAGTGAAGGAAAACTAGTCCTCCTAAGCCATTTGAGGATTTGTGCTTTTTTGCTATAAATACCTCTCCATTGCTACCAGATGAAAGGAAAGTAGGCTTAATATAAAGTGGCAGCACTGTTTCCTTAAGGTGTTGCAGAGAGTATGCTGGTTTTGTGTAATGACTTTCCAAGTATGAAGTAAGTAACAAAACAATAACAAAATGGCCCAGCTCTGTTGATGGCAGTCAGTGTGTCACACGTGGCCATACCTACTGGTGTTCACACTGCTTCTGTGTCTGCAGCTTCTCTGAGTCTGTGAGGGAGAAGAGAAAGTGCCCCGAAACTTGTTGGCTTCCCACTGGATAAATCGTTGCTTTTAGCCCCAGCAGAGGCCCAGAGCAGAGGCACTGAAAATGTGGTGACCTGGTATCACCTGCTGTGGGGAGCCATGTTATGGAATTAAGTTTCTTCAGGGGTATGTTCGTTCTTCTTTCATTATGTGAGATTGTCAGAGAATAAAAAAGAGTAAAGAAAGGATGCCTTATTTGAAACACTTTTCTCTGTGTCCCGATGACTTCCAAGTATTATGATGTTTTTATTTGTTATGCACATAGGGAAGGAGTCAGTGCAGAAATACAGTCCACTGCTACCTTAGATTGTAGTACTTTCAGTTTACAAAAAGAAATCGTATTTTCTCTGGAGCTGATTTAATAATTTTGGTTGGTGCTATCTTCCTAAAATTAAACCATTTTGCTTGAAATTTCACAGGTCAAGTTTTTCTGCCCATTTAAAGGAACTAGGACAAGGTGTTTGGGAGGTATCATTCCTCAAAAATGAGAACTCATATCCTGAGTATTCTCTTGAAGAGCTTTGTCCTTTCTTACCTAAAAATGGCTTGCATTAGAAACTCCAGATTTAAATTAATATGTTAATCTTCTGGTGCCTATGATGACCTTTAGACTGTGGTTTCAGTCAGTGACAGGGCTTTATGCTTGTGCTACGGGCTTGGAGACGACTTTATACTGTGCCCTCAGTTGCTTGCGGGAAGTGCATTAGACGATTTGCTAACTAAACTGCATCAGGATGCACCCCTCAGGAAATTTTGGCTGTATGCTGCAAGTCTCAGGTCTTACGCCACAGGCATAGGAGAGAGATGATCATATTGCAGTTTCTTGCTTGACAAAAGGGAATTGCTGTGATTCAGTGAGAAGTTTTTCAGGATGTCAGAGAAATGCTAACAGATTCAAACCTCTATCTGAAGAGTAAACTGGCTTGGCCTTTGCTCTGTTCCCTTTCACTTCTGAGTAACTGCTGGCTTAAGTGCAGGTTCCCTGTGTCTGTTACATGCAATCAGAGGTGATGTTTCTGTGTTACTCGCTTGTTCCTCGTATACACAACCCTTTTTTTTTTTTTTTTTTTGTAAAGGTAATTGAAGAGCTAGAATAGGACTGAAGTGCAGTTGTCAGTGTGATCTCCTTTGCTATGATTATTAATTCATGGCTTATATGTACAGAAGACTATACATTAGCTTTTTTCCATTAAAAGCTTCAGTGAAGAATGATGTACCAAAGTTGCTTTGAGACATGTTGATAATGACTGTTGAATTCTTAGGGAAAAGGTTCTATGCATGTACAAAGTACTGATAAAGAATTATTGTGCACAAGTTTTTTTGGATGAAATTTTTCCTTTTATTCCCAAATTATCAATGGTTTATCTGTTAGACTTTTGTTAATCTCTTTAATTAAATGCATCTTCACTAATCTGATTTAATAAATTGCATTCTTCTGTAAATTAAAGAGTAACTATTTGCTGACACAGCTAAGTAGAGACAGAAGACTGTAGGCAGAAATTTGCTTTATCCCTTGTTTACTTGCATAGATTAAAAAGAGCAAAACTACAATTGTAGAAATGCAGACGTTAATGTCTATAATTAATTTTACACTTACGCGTGCTATGTTTATTCTGCTGTTAGGTGTGCTGTCAAAGCTGGGTAGAAAAGATGAAAATCCTTATGCACCTTTAAATCTTCTGGCTGATTTTGCTGGTGGAGGTGTCATGTGTGCAGTGGGTATTGTTATAGCCCTTTATGAACGTACCAGATCTGGTAAAGGACAGGTCATTGATGCAAGTATGGTAAGTTTGGACTCAAGGAAGGTAGGGTTTCCTGGGTTGACTTGTTTGATTTTTTTTTCCTACTCGTAAGTTTGTAAAAGGGAGGAAACTTGAGCTATATGTAAGGTTTAAAATTGAGCACTTGGGAAAGAAAAAGTGAATAATCTCATAAAATGTCTATTCCTTCATGTGCAAGTAATTTTCATATGTCACTGTTGCCATAACAGCCTTATGACATGGGATGCATTCTGCAGCTTTCCCCCTGTGCCATTCCCTATCTTCCCTCTCACCAGTGACAAAATACGTATTTCACAAAATATTTTCTGTATATATTTGATGAGTAAGTTTTGTTGTATGAAAATAGAGTGTGTATTAAACAATGGACATCATGCTTAACAGCAAAAACGATGATCCTAGCAAAATAAAGAGTGGCATTAGCTTTATATAAGATACACCTGCTTATGAATTTGTGATGGGTAATGTCTTATGAGAAGTACTGTTCCCTCAAATAATTACATTGCCAGGGATTATTGCCAAGAAGTTGATTTTAAACACATTGTGTTAATGTGCTGTAAAAGAAATGAAAGACTAAATTAGTTTAAAAATGGATACTGTGATTTTTTTTTTTTTTTTTGCACTGCAGGGCCACCTGCTTGTAGGAAATACACCTATTTATGTTTATCCTTGAAACCTGTGTTATCTGCAAGTGTTTTTCTCTCTCTGTCCCTACCTTTTATTGTGTTTAAAAATGTTGCAATTAAATTTTGACCTCCTCTTGGGGTTACTGTGACACAGTGAAGGCTATGATTTGGACTTAAATATAAATTGAAAAAAAAATTAATTGAAAAATTCCCTTTGTTGAAGATATCTTGAAGATAGGGGAATAGAGATGTAACTGTCTTGTCTTGAGTGTTTTTGACAAATTTCCATGACATTCTCAGAAGCAGGCCGTGACATTATGGTCTAGATGAAATTTCAAGGGATGAGTGCAAAACTGGTCTAACATTTTTATTCCAACAGTAATTATTACTAGTTGATTGTCAAAATTAAAAACTTAAAAACTGTCATTTTACAGACATCTGTTGGTTGTTCTCAGTGTTTCCTCCCATAAGTTGAATGATAGATGACTGACTGAGTGTAGTACATTTACAGTTTATGTACATGTGGGAAGAACTACAAGTGTGTTGGACACTTGGATTAGAATTGAAAATGACCTTTGGAAATTGGAGAAATGACCTGAAAAAAATTGGCTGAAATTCATGGAGACTGCTGCTCTGTGGTTCTCTTGTGCAACTAATTGTTTCTGCCTAAATGCAGTATGAGAACAATTGGCTAAAGTACAATCCTGGGGGTTTGTAGTAGTCACAAGCTGAACATGAGTCAACAGTATCATGTTGTTGTAAGACACACACACACTGTGTTAGGATGTATAAACAGGAAATAGAGACAGCAAAGGTTCTGAAGTACTTCTTCTCTTTTGTTCAACATTTGTAAGACCTAAGGAAATACTGTTTCTGATGCTAGCCATGATCTTTCCAAGGAAAATTACCAGTTTGGGGAAATCTGAGAAACAGTGCAAAATGATCTGGGTCTAAAACGTGACGTAGGAAGAAACATTGAAAAAGTTTGTATATTTATGAAACAAAAACTGTGGAGAATTGTAACAAGTCTTCAAATATTAAAAAATATTTTTCCTGTCGTTTGGACTATTACCTTATTTTCACCATTGCTACTTTAAGTCATTAAAGTAATTTGTTACAAGAAGAATCAATGTAAGTCTGCTAATGTTCTAATGAGATCTGTGGCTTATTGGGAATGGAATGTGTTGTGGGTTTTATGTGGGTTTTGTGGGTTTTTTTAAGCCCTCAAATCTTCTCCCTTTCAATTTTTTTCTTGTGTCATTATAATCCTGAAATTTACAATTCCCTGTTGATGCTCCTGGTGTCCTGTGGAAGGGGTGGAATATTGTCCAGTGTCTCACTGGATGTACTTTATCTGGTATTTTGTTATGTTCTTTTCACTTGAACAAAATTTCAGAGAGACAGTTAATGAAAAACATACAAGCATCTCAACAGAAAGACAGTTAAATAGACTGATTTTCTGAACCTGTTTTTATATCTAAGTTTGTTTCATGAAAGTAGATATTTTAAAAATGACAGTACCACAGCATTTCAGCTGTCATTTCATTTTAACATTCTTTTTTATTTAGTAGGCCTATTACTTAAGTTGTTGTACAGTTCAGGTAGTCTGAATATGTTAATGACTCTGAAATTTTCTATGGTAGAAGAGGAAAAATTAATTTCTTTCTTAGCAGCTTTGTGTTCTAAGGTTTACTTTTGTTAAGTTTTTATCTTTATGGATTCTTTTGCTGACAAATTGGATTTTTTTCTCCTTTCACTGAAATACCTAATTTTCTGAAATAATCTTAAAAAATCAATTATTTCTTGTGTTTGAGGTTAGTAATTCTAGATTGAGATGTGAATTTTTGTGATAGAAGAATTCATTATTTATCTTTTATTTCTAAGTGTTATGCTGAAAGCTGACCAATGGCTTGGGAGCATTCTTGCAATCAGTAATACACACATGAGGAACTCTTCTAGTTAGTGCAACTAAACTGACACAAAAAGAATGTCAAAAGAATCAAGCTGAGGGCTCGATTTGCGTCACCTGTACATAGTGGCCAGCGTTACTGTTTGGTGTGTAAAAAGTGGATTATGGGTCCTGCACACCAGCTGTCTACTTCAGCAGAATTAAATGCCTGCTCCAAATTGCCTCACGTTGGCTGCTGTCTCGTCCCTGGCTCTGCAGGGGTGGTAGGTGTTGTACAGGGAGCCCGACAGTCCCCATGTGCTGAGGAGGGTGTGGGGTGGACACTGTGGTGTGACACAGTAGGCACCATTGTACATCTGCACTCTTGCACCACAGTAGAGGCATGTGAGTCAGGGCTACACTTTAGGCTCACCCCAAATTCAGACACAGAGCCTTCTGCTGATGGTAGCCATCTGACCAAGGATGACTCACTCTTTGTGAGAAGATTGCCACAATAGAGGGTGGTGGTAATGATCGCTTGCATAAAGGTCTTACGGCAAGAGCAGTTAGCTGTTCCACAGAAGACTGGGTTTCCGTGTTTTTCTCAGCCTGGAGGTATTCTAAACCACACCTCCCACATCCTAGAGGCATTCATCAGTCACAAGGTTAAAGATTAGGCTGATGTGGGTTCTATCTCAGTTTTGTTTGAACGGTTTCGCTCTGCAGAAGGAACAGGCTTGTGGACCAGACAGGTCACTCAGCAGGGTGGCGTCTCTGGGTTCCTGTCCCTGCTTCAGAGACTGCTGATGCTTTTAGCATGAGAGAGCCATTAAGTGAAACAATAACTGTTACTGTCATCATTCTGCAGTTAGGATTAAGGGGAGTGTCCTCATGTTGTCCTTTTAATATATTAAAAGAAAGTGCCCACATTAGTAAGAGAGTGCCCACATTACTCTGTATGGTGTTTTTTGAGCATGTCTCTGGGGGTTCAGAGCAGATGTTAGGCACCCTTTTATTTGTCTCTGAATTGCAGTGGGACTTGGGCAGAAGATACCAGTTGTCCAGTTGCCTAGCCAGGGGTATTTCTGAAGTCCATATACAAGTCCAAAACAGATGCTCTGTTTTGTTTTAAGTGTTCCCAGGGTAATAGCACTATGCTTAGGTACTGAAGTAGTTCCATCAGCACCAAAATCTAACTTGCAGTTACAGCTTACTATCCCCATCTATTATTATCCTTACTTCCAATGTTTTTTGTCTATTGTTCTATTAATATGAGCAGTGCAAGATCAGATTGTTAGTAAAGCAAACATATTGATATTCTTGCAATTATTTTGAAAGTACAGTAATTGATTTTAACGTATGACAAGTAGGACAGGAATATTTCTGCCCTATTTCTTGTGGCAGGTGCTTGAGAAAGAGGCCAAGGAATACAGAGTAAATGAAGAAACCTTCATGACTGCATACTTAAAAGATTTGCAGGTGTTCAGCTCTTGCTTAGAAAGGTAGAAACCAATAGATCTTTACATATGAAAATTCTGTAGCTTTTTATTTTGGTACAATGTCTTTACTTTTCTCTAGAGACAATACTGGGCTAATTTTACAGAGCTGAAAATATATGAATCAAAATGGTACTCAAAATTACACAACTCGAAATTTTCTGTGTTCCACTGGAATGTTTCTGGCCATACACTGCTACTGCCTCATCTTCTCTTACAGTTTTTGTAGTGCAGTTGGAAGAAAATGGATTCTGTGGTGAGCAAAACTGCAGATAGTGGTTGGAAAGACTGGTACAAGCTTGGTAATTATTGAAAGGCTGAACAAACTGAATTTTCATTTGGGTGTGCTCCACATAGCTAAAATTTTAAGGAGCAAGTTGGAACAGGATTAATCATGTTTTCTAGTGCTGTGTTCATCAGACACTTACCTGTTTAGAGATTACTTTGCTATGTCTGTGTACCTCTTGGTGACAGGAATGATAGAATAATTTTTGTTTTAACCTAGTGATGGAGATGAGCTTCCCAGTTCCTATGGTATAACAGAGCTTTAACCTTTGATTTCCTTCCAGTTTTCTTCTAAAACTAGCAGCCTTATTATCAGTAAATTCAAAGAAATTAATGTTGAGATAAAAATTTTATGTTTACAGGGTGGGTATAAGCATCTTGATTTCCAGAGGTTTAGAAGGCTTGATGGCTCTCAGATACTTCTATACAGCCAAGAAGCTTGTCCCATCACCTAAAATTACTTGCATTGTCTTTGTGAACTCTGAATTATTATAAACTTGGCAGATGAGGAAACTTTGTGTAGTGAAAGTATGTTATTGACCTGAAGCTGCGTCATTACATTTATGCTCCTCCTTATTCTGTAATTCTAAATGGTTTCACTTATGCAACATAAACAGCAACTGAAAATTATAAGAAGTTAAACTATTTACCAGAGGTGTTCTGATTGCTACCAGTTTTATCCTTTGTTAAAAAAAATTTTTAGTTTTTTGCTCTTTTGTTTTCTGTAGAATTAAAGTGACATGACAACTAAATTACTGAATCTGTTACTTTTTTCCTGTCAATCTTCAAGGTGGAAGGAACAGCCTACTTAAGTTCTTTCCTGTGGAAATCTGAAAATTTAGGACTTTGGAGCAGACCTCGAGGAGAGAACATGCTAGATAGTGGTGCACCTTTTTATGAAACCTACAGGACCTCTGATGGAAAATTCATGGCTGTTGGTGCCATTGAGCCTCAATTCTATGACCAGTTCATGAAAGGTAAGTAGCTTGGAGCAGTTGTTTCACATCAGCAAAGTGTGATTGAATGAATTCCTTAATACTTGATTTTGATTCATAGAATCATTGTATCATTTGGAGTTGGAAGAGACCTTTAAGATAAATCCAACCATTAACCAAGCACTGCCAGGTCACCATTAAACCAGATCCCTAGGCACCACATCTGCATGTCTTTTAAGTACCTCTGGGGTTGGTGACTCCACAGCTTCCCTGGGCAGCCTATTCTGGTTCTTCACAACCCTTTTCCTAACACCCAGCCTAAACCTCCCTTGGCATAACTTGAGGCTGTTTCCCCTTGTCCTGTCACTTGTTACTTGGAAGAAAATGCTGATCCCCACCTTGCTACAACCTCCTTTCAGGTAGTTGTAGAGGGTGATAAGGTCTCCCCTTGGTCTCCTTCAGGCTAACCAATGCCAGCTCTCTTAGCTGCTCCTCTAAAGACTGGTTCTCTACACCTCCACACCATCTTAGTTGCTCTTCTTTGGGCACACTTCAGCACCTCAGTGTCTTTCTTGTATTGAGGTGCCCAAAACTGAACACAGTATTTGAGGTGTGGCCTTGCCAATGCCAAGTACAGGGGTACGATCACTTCCCTGGTCCTGCTGGCCACACTATTTCTGATACAGGCCACCGCCCCCCCCCGTTTTCTTTTCGGGGGGGCTTTTTCCCCAGCCACTCTTCCCCAAGCCTGTAGTGTTGCCTGGGGTTGTTGTGACCCAACATTTATTATGCTGGGTGCAGTGCTGGTCAACATCGTTGTCAGCGACATGGACAGTGGCATTGAGTGTACCCTCAGCAAGTTTTTTGATGGCACAAAGCAGTGTAGTGTGGTGGACTCACTTGAGGGAAAGGAGGCCATCCAGAGAGACCTCGACAGGCTTGAGAAATGGGCCAGCGAAAAGTGCATGAGGTTCAACAAGTCAGAGTGCAAGGTCCTGCAGCTGGGTCAGGCCAATCCCAGGCACAGCTCCAAACTTGGTATGTAGTTGGTTGAGAGCAGCCATGAAGAGAAGGATTTGGGGGTGTTGATTGACAAGAAGCTGAACATGAGCTGGTGGTGTGCTCATGCAGCCCAGAAGGCCGGCGCATCCTGGGACGCATCAGGAAGACTGTGGCCAGCAGATCAAGAGAGGTGATTCTCCCCCTTTACTCTGCTCTCGTGAGACCCCACCTGGAGTACTGCGTCTGGTTCTGGTGTCCCCACCATAAAAGGGACATAAATCTGTTGGAATGAGTCCAGAAGAGGGTCACAAAGATGATCCAGGGGCTGCAGCATCTCTGCTATAAGGACAAGCTGAGGGCCCTGGGGTTGTTCAGCCGGAGAAGAGAAGACTCTGGGGAGACCTCATAACTGCCTTCCAATACGTGAAGGGAACCTACAGGAAGGCTGCAGGGGGACTTTCTCAAAAGTGCATTGATAGGACAAGGGGAAATGGTTTTAAAATGGCTGGACACTGGTCACTTGATGGTGAATGTTGCATTACATGTCTTTCTTGAGTTTTATTTTCTCCTCTTATTCTTATTTGTTCTTAATTACTAAACTGCTTTTATCTCAGCCCAGTTTATTTCTTACTTTTGCCCCTCCAAATCTCCCATGCCACTGCAGGAAAGGGGAGCCCAAATCAGCTATGTTGTGCTAACTGCTATGTCAGTGCCAGGGCCTGCACTTCCAAGAATTTTGAATTTCAGGAGTGTGATATGATGAAATGAAGGCATGGGGTTGTAAGGTGGGATATGACTTTGGTGAGCAGCATCCCAAGGAGATCTGTAGACTTTGGCTTTGTTCTCTTGCAACCTGTGGTGCTCCCAAAATTCTTTCATGTCTGTTGATCTAAATGGCTTCTTCTCCTTCTATGACCAGGTGACCCATGTAGCAGATGAGGGAGAAGTGGTGCCTGTTGTCTACCTGGACTTCAGTCAGGCCTGTGGCAGTGTCTCCCACAGCATTCTGCTGGAGAAGCTGGCAGCTCACAGCCTAGACAGGTGGAGTCTTGGCTGGG